TGGGTGACTAATTCAAGGCCAAAGACTCTGAGTAAGTCTCATTCTCATGTCTTTGCTACATGGACCACGTCTCTTGTAAAACCTACTGTCAGCCAACTAGATCCAATCGGCGCCTTATCTATCCTGTCTCTATCTCTAATACCAAGTCTATGACTTGCCATGCCCTAGTCTCTTGTGTGCCAACCCACAAATGTTGTGTACTGCTTGCATTGATTAGGTTCAATGATGAACAACAACATTTATGGGTTTAGCACACAAGAGACTAGGGCATAGGAAGTCATAGATTTGGTATTAGAGATAGAAAGATGATAGAAGCAATGGAAGCTACAAGTAGTTGGCTAAAAATAGTCGTGATTCAAGGATCATGTCTATGATCAAACACGTCTATTGTTAGCCAAATAGCTTTAGTCTACACCGCGTCTTTCCTATTTCTATCTGTAATACCATCTCTATCACTTCCTACGTCCTTATCTCTTGCGTGCCAACCCACAAATGTCGTGGGTTAGGCTCACTGAAGACGTCTCTTATTTGCTTCTGATTGTTGCGCTATCATCCCCCTGTATAGACTTGCACTATTATCTATTGCGTGTATGTAATGCTCATGTAATAGAAAGTATGATAGTCCCAGATAGACTCGAGAATAATCCAACCTCCTTTTCTTGAACAGTGGCACTTCAAGCAATCCCTCTATTTCACTTAATTAAAGTCTAACAAAAAGACGCAAAAATGTTTCTAATTACTGTATACATTTGTTTCTTCAATTCAGGACGGTAGATGTTTTGATAAATTATATAAAGTCCCTAATCTGACGCATTTACGTGAAATTCCAGCAACCAACAAAACTTTATGTATTATACTAGTGTATTGAGAAACATGCATTGAAATAAACCTGCAGAGCGAGCATTGAGCTCAACCTGCAGAGCGAGCATTGAACCCAAAATGCAGAGCGAGTATTGAACATAAGCTGCAGAGCGAGCATTGAATATAACCTGCAGTGGTAGCATTTAACCCAACCTACAGAGCGAGTATTGAAGCGAACATACAGAGCGAGCAGTGAACCCAACCTGCAGAGCAAACATTGAACCCAAACTGCAAAGCGGGCTTTGATCCCAACATGCAGAGCGAGCATAAAGCCTAACCTGCAGAGCCAGAATTGAACCTAACCTGCAGTACGAGCATTTAACATAACGTGCAAAACGAGCCTTAAACCCAACCTGCAAAGCGAGCATTAAAGCCAACATGCAGAGCAAGCATTGAAACCATCCTACAGAGCAAGCATTGAACCCAACCTGCAGAGCGGGTTTTGATCCCAACATACAGAGCGAGCATTAAACCTAACATGCAGAGTGATATTCGAACTTAACCTGCAGAGCCAGCATTGAACCTAACCTTCAGAGCGAGCATTGAAACTAACCTGCAGTGCGAGCATTGAACCCGACCTGTAGAGCGAGCATTGAACCGAATCTCCAGAGCAGGCATTGAACCCAACCTGCAAAGTGAAGATTAAACCCAAATCAGCAGAGCGAGCATTGAAACTAATCTGCAGAGAGATATTTGAACTTAACCTGAAGAGCCAGCATTGAACCCAACATGCAGAGCGAGCATTGAACCTAATCTGTGGAGCGAGCATTGAACCTAACCTGTGGAGCGAGCATTGAACCTTACCTGCAGAGCGAGTATTGAACCCAACCTGTAGAGCGAGCATTGAACCCAATCTGCAGAGCGAACATTGAAAATAACCTGCAGTCCGAGCATTGAACCCAACATGCAGAGCAAACATTGAACCCAACCTGGAGAGCAAACACTGAACCCAACCAGCAGAGCAAATATTCAACCCAACCTGCAGAGCGGGTTTTGATCGCAACATAAAGAGCGGGCTTTGATCCCAACATGCAGAGCGAGTATTGAACCTAACCTGTATAGCGAGCATTGAACCTAACCTACAGAACCAGCATTGAAACTAACCTTCAAACTGAGCATTGA